GGCCTCGGAGTGTGCGTACGTCTAAAACACTGGAAGCGTGCCTTCCGTCTATCACAACATGATCGATTTGGTTTCTCGTTTTTCGATCCGGAGACAGCCAGGTAGCTTGATGGATCTTTTTATGCTTGAACCTAGTACTGCATACTACCATGTTTCGGGCCCCGGCGAAGTCGATCAGCCTCAATCCGTTGTCGGGCGTTTCGTCGTGGAGGCTGAATTTTCCGACGGTGGTTCCAAAGATCCCTTCTTTGCCCACCCTGGCATTGAAGTCGCCAAGCACGATTTTGATATCATGACGGGGGCAGCGCTCGTACGTGCGCTCCAAGCGCTCATAGAAGAGATCCTTGGATGCCTCATCCTTCTCTTCCATCGGGGCATGCGCGCAGATGAGCGAGATGTTGAAGAATCTCGCTTTGATGCGGATTGTGGCCAGACGCTCGTCCAGCGGGGTGAACGACAGTACTCGGCGAAGGAGTCTCTCTCCCACCACAAATCCTACTCCGAATTTGCGCTCCTTTACATGGCAGTGTTTTTACGCTCTAGAAAATAATTTCCACAACTACACATACGCTGTTTTGCATTTTGTTGATACGCGGTTTTTCACTTTAAACGACGATATGTATGCACAAGCTTAAGTAGTAATATGAGCCGCAGATGGAAAATCAAATCTTCAAATTGGGAAAAATTTATACCTAAAAGCTGGCGAATGTACCTAGAAATTAATATGTACGTTGTACAAACATTTTGTTACACATTTCACATCACGCAAAATCTGTTTAACAGTACGAAAATAGGACAGGAATCTTCCATGCTTCATTTTATAATTCATCATCACTAATACGTTAAAGCTCTGTTGAAGAACCTCTCGAAGCCACCAAACAAAGTTTTAGACCAGAGCTTCCTGAAGTGGGTTCAGCGGAACCCAAGAGTACCGTAGAATATATGAGCACGGCGGTCGGTTTGAGTTGCACACAGAAAACAAAGTTCTGTAAACAGCATGACAGAGACGCAATTATCTATTGCCACGCTTTTATCAACTTGCTTTCTTGTTTGTCCAGACACCTTTGCTTAAGGTGACCAGAATTTTTTAACATTCCAGGAGGACAAATACTCCGCATTGAAAATTCAAAAAATCAACGGTTCAAAATGTATATCATTTTTAATTTAAAAAAAAAACTTTTTTATATGTTAGTTACCTGGAAAATTTCAAGTTCCCAACGACACCTTTAATAATTTAAATGAAAATTTGTCCAAATGGAAGAATTTACTTCTCAGTAAATAGGTAATTTCAAGGCCATAATTTCGCTGGGTTAGTTATTTTGGATCAGCCTTATATATGCATATATATAAATATACAAGAATTACTCATTTAGAGTAAAAAGAATAAGTGGAAATTTTTCCCGGAAAACACCCGCCACAAAAAGTCTGGATCCGCCTCTGGGCCTGTGTTTATTTTGATTATGTACGTGGGTGTAAAGTAATACCCTTTTTAATTTTTTAAGCATATTTGCGCACAAATACTTTTATCAGGATGAAAAATCCCCACACACAAATATTGCCACTGATAAAACTGATACATATCTGGCAACCAAAATGCCATATGGTAGGCAATAATTTTACCTGTGGCGGCGCGTCGTTAGCTAGCCTTTCATGTTGTAAAGGGTAATTCGGATTTCCCACGGCACACAGTGCTGTATGAGCGGGCAAAAATCAAAAAAATTGTTGTCACGTATGTCAACGTGTTTGGTATCGTTGGAAAGGAAATTTATCCTCGATTAAGGATCTGGACTTAGTTTTTGTTTTTATCTCATAAGGTTCTCACAAAAACCTCTTAAAGTTGTGTGTTTTTTATATATTTTTTCTTTTATGAAAATGCCTTTAGCTGGAGTCTTTAAAAAAAAATTGCTAAAAATACAATTTATCATACTTTATCTTAAGACACAATTTTTCTAATTAGAAAATCTGTAAGGAAACCACTCTATAGAGCTTTTTAACAAATATTGAGTTTCCTGGCTGGAATGGCCTATTTGCTACACCCTAGAATTTGTTGCAGAAAATTTAAAAAATTCCTAAGTTTACAAAGGGATAAAAAAAATATATGTAAAAGTATGTTTTTTTTATCCTTTTATTTGAAAGAAAGGAAATTTTTCTTTGAAATAAAAAAAAAAGTCTGCAGACTCATTGCGCTTTTCGAACAAAATCG